TTGGAATAATCAGTCTTACCATTCTGTTTAGTGCCATTTTTCTTCATCTGTCTAAGAAGATTTCCACTTCCTCTCAAAACTGTCTTCAAAGCTCTCAAACCCCAATCATAATGTTGTTGAGGTGTCAAAAGTTCCCTGAAATAAAGACATGGAAATCTTAAAGCATCAAATAGCTAAAAGAAATTATTTTCATAATCACATCTAAAGAAATAAAGAATATGACTACTGACACATAGAAATGAATACTGATATCCCATAAATTTATATAAGGGAAACAATCACACAAAAGGATCACTCAATAACCTGCTAAATGTGGATGGTTCTCAAAGATAGGATAAAACTTTCATGAACAGGCTAATTATCTTAATGAAGATACCAAATGACAATTACCTGTTACCTTTATTCCTAAAGTCTTTACTCAATCCACCTTGCTCTCAATCTCTGACACTGTCTAGGTCCCCAGTATGTCATATGAACCAGAATTGTACATTGCCCCAAAGAAGCTAAAAGTCAACTTCTATACTAGAAATAAGACAGAAAAATTGTGACAAAGATTCCCTCCACAGAAGAGTAGCTTTTGGGTGGTCAGCTGGTAAATTAGTTCAATAAAAATCATTTAGCTGGAGCCCCCAGTTTTTTTAAAGAAAAAAACTGATCAAATTAATAATATGTAAGAAAAATAAGTAGTTTTCAGCCAAATGTTTTTATTGTTAAAACTAAAATCTTTCACATCAACACTATAAGCATAATAAAATCATTAATTTGAAAACCATAGAACAGGTAAATTGGCAAAATGTGAAAATGATCACTAATAACTACGATTAATCATTAGAAATGCCAAAATATAAAAATATTTTAAACAGGAAAACTCACCTAGATAAACTGAAAATAGCTACTAATTTTCTGCCCAATACTTTCGCATCTTTAAAGCCTTCTGAATACAGAATAACTTCTGCAATAAGCTCATTGTCTGGACGAGACATAGCTACTGGCCTGAAAAGCTGTTTAAGATTATCAGGCAGTTTTTGTCTTCCTCCATAACCTTTTCCAGCAGGATTCATAGTGATAAAAATTCCAGAATTAGAATTTATTTCTACCTGAAATATTAATTTAAAATATAGGCATGAAAGATTGAACTATAAATATATTACCAACAAAAATTTTATTGTGACATATTACTACACATAAATCTTACACCTTAGCAAAAAGTAACTTCCCATGTACTAACCATGTCCTTACTCA